AAGCATTTTTATTTCTCGCTGTAACAGCAGACAAGAAGAAGAAAGAGAGCAAGCATCTCAGGTACCACTTACTTTGATCTGTTACCCTCCAGGACAACCATTTTACTGCGTTAGAACGGACATAGGACAACGCTTTTAAAGGATAGCTTTTATCCTTCAACCCTGCGTAAAATGAACGCTGCCGCAAGTTGAAAATTTTCAGCATATTTTAAACGTTATTCCTTTCCTCCAGGGACACCTCGAGGCGGTGTAATGGTTAACAAGCTTGTCTCGCTAGAATATTTACGACTGTGTAGTGAGTTCGATCCTCACCGGGTGCCCCATACTTTCGGCCTTGTGCCACATCTGAGCTACGATTGGAAAATCACTAATGGGCACCTCGAGGCGGTGTAATGGTTAGCAAGCTTGTCTCGCTAGAACAATTACGACTGAATAGTGAGTTCGATCCTCACTGGGTGCCCCATACTTTCGGCCTTGTGTCCGTGTGTGTGCGCGTCCGAGTGTGTACGTGTGTTTGTGCGCACGTGTGTGAACTCATACCCTTTATCCACTGTGCCATGTGTCCTTGAGGACCCAAAGAGTGTGAGTTCAATACCCGGTTACGGCAGTGGAGAACTTGCAGAAGGGAATTAATAGGAGATAACTGATAACTGACATGGCATGTGGAACTAGAACAGCCTACCCCAGTGAGCGAAATAAAGGGTTCAGTTCGACATTCCAAACACCTGAAGAAGGCCGGAGCGTTGTAATAATATGGCGACAAAGATGAGGACAATCGTTCGAATAATGTAAATTATATATATATATATATATATTATATATATATATATATATGTGTGTGTGTGTGTGTGTGTGTGTGTGTGTGTGTAAACACAAATGGCAAAGAGATAAGCATTGCAAAGAAACTTCATTTTTTTCCAAGAAATGCCATGATGCACACTGCTACCCCGGCAGGATCTTGAGATAATTGCAATCAAGTTCGCAAAATGTTCGACTATATGAATCAAGTGGATATGACTATTCTTTTATTTTGTTAATTTTTCAATCCTTAACTCTTAACATCCAGTTGAAAAAAAAATAAGCCGAGCTGTTAAGCCAAACGGAAATGAATAAGAGAATCAGAGTGTTTCTTTCCCTTTTAAATTAGGACGTTCATCAATTACTTCGAAACGAATCTTTCTTTTTTAATAATTTCACTCCAAGTAAGGAAATAAAGCCGCTAAGACGCAATGTCGTTACTGAGTGTGAAAAGAACATAAGAAAAAGAAAACATTATTAAGGAAATAGAAAAATAAAAGAACAGGAAATAAGAAAACAGAAGTTAACGACTGAGAATAGATTTAAATTCTTGATGAAATTGACAGAAAACCAAGAAACCTGAAGAGAGTTCCAAAAGGGGGAAGTGCGAGAGAAAAAAAAACTGTCTCCGGACGGTGACATCTGGCCATTTCAACTGTAGAATGGCGAAACTATGTCGCAAATCTAGTACTACGCTTAAGTGCGTGAAATATAGCTACTAAAGAGGAAAGCTCATCAGACCGATTACCGTGGAAGTATTTATTGAGAAGTCACAGAGAAACTACATTCGGCGCTGGGGCAGTGGCTGAAGACGAGATGCCAGGTCAGGACCAATAGTATTTCGGATTCTTCTTTGGATTTTGTCAAAAATCTCTAAATACACAGCAGAAACACAATGTAAATAGGATTAGTATAAATCTTGTGGTGCCTGAGGACAGGCTGACTGATGCAATGCACTAGGGGGTCTATGGTTTACGGAATATTAAGATGTAAATCAATAAGGAAAACTAGTTAAAAAATACCTAAACTGTCTCAGAACAATGATTAAAAATGGGTCCGAGCCAATGAAGCCTCTAGGTCTTAGCGAGGAACATCCTTCTTCCTACCTCCTCGACTGGCGCTACACAATCACAAACAAAAAATAATACCAGATAACAGAAATCATACAAATCGATGACGATCAACAATAGCAACAACTAAAATGGCCCAGTGGATAAAGATGTTGGTTAGATCGAGTGATTAGACACAAAGAGTTGTGAGTTCAATACCAGGCCACAGCAGCGGTGAACCAAAACATAGAAAGTTGACTTAAAAGGAAATAACTGAGATATCCGGAAGAGGCATGACACGTGGAACTAGAACAATCTACCGAGGTGGACGAAATATAGGGTTCGGTTCGATATTCCAGTTACCTGAAGAAGGCCGGGGCGTACAGCGGCCGAAATTTTGTGAATATGGCAATGGAGATGAGGATAACAGTTCGAATAATGTAAGTAAAATGGATAGCACATGTAACTCAAAAATTGATTGGTTTTCTACAATTAATCGATTTTGGGAAATAATAATGATTTTGTAAGACAAGTTTTACTTTAACCCATAGCTGAGAAGGGGGAGGAAGACGTGGATTCATACATGATTTCCCAAGGGAATTTGCGCATTAGTAAATATAACGAACCCAACTGGAATTCGAACTCAGCTCTCCAATTAACAATTTCTTACATTACCCGTACATCCAAGCTTACAGCGCCTGGTATTCCGAAGCGGTCATCCCTCTGGGTACTGACCAGACTTAAAGTTGCTTAACTTCGGTGACCATTCGGGAACAGGTTTTTCAAAATGATTTGGTCGTAAACCGTGACTCAAAGAGAAACTAATGACACAATCAAGGTTTTGGCTTTCTACATTTTGAAAGAGAGATAACAGTTGAGATAACTATTTTCCTGAAAAATTTGTTTTAATAGAAAGATTTTATAAACTTCACTCGGAAGTAACACAAAACTGTCCTTTTCAGGACAACTCTTCACCAATTGCAAAACTGTGCTTTTCAGGACAACGCCCTTCACCAATTGCAAAACTGTCCTTTTCAGGACAACGCTCTTCACCAGTAGCAAAAATGTCCTTTTCAGGACAACGCTCTTCACCAATTGCAAAACTGTCCTTTTCAGGACAACGCCCTTCACCAATTGCAAAACTGTCCTTTTCAGGACAACGCTCTTCACCAGTAGCAAAACTGTCCTTTTCAGGACAACGCTCTTCACCAATTGCAAAACTGTCCTTTTCGGGACAACGCTCTTCACCAGTAGCAAAACTGTCCTTTTCAGGACAACACTCTTCACCAATTGCAAAACTGTCCTTTTCAGGACAACGCTCTTCACCAGTAGCAAAACTGTCCTTTTCAGGACAACACTCTTCACCAATTGCAAAACTGTCCTTTTCAGGACAACGCTCTTCACCAATTGCAAAACTGTCCTTTTCAGGACAACGCCCTTCACCAATTGCAAAACTGTCCTTTTTCAGGACAACGCTCTTCACCAGTAGCAAAACTGTCCTTTTCAGGACAACACTCTTCACCAATTGCAAAACTGTCCTTTTCGGGACAACGCTCTTCACCAGTAGCAAAACTGTCCTTTTCAGGACAACACTCTTCACCAATTGCAAAACTGTCCTTTTCGGGACAACGCTCTTCACCAGTAGCAAAACTGTCCTTTTCAGGACAACACTCGTCACCAATTGCAAAACTGTCCTTTTCAGGACAACGCTCTTCACCAATTGCAAAACTGTCCTTTTCAGGACAACGCCCTTCACCAATTGCAAAACTGTCCTTTTCAGGACAACGCTCTTCACCAGTAACAAAACTGTCCTTTTCAGGACAACACTCTTCACCAATTGCAAAACTGTCCTTTTCAGGACAACGCCCTTCACCAATTGCAAAACTGTTCTTTTCAGGACAACGCTCATCTCACCCTCTACATCTGCATGCCGATGTATTTTTTGCCTAGTATACTACAACCTTATATTTGTTGGAATATATTTTTACTCAAGTCTTCGTTTTTCTCGTTGTTGCCTTCCGTTATTTAATATCTGTTTGTGGGCTATTATACCAGCTCACAGAAAGCAGTTTTTTTGTCAATATTCAACAATTGTTTTATTCATTTCCCCACAAGCATGTCCCTAAGACGCAAGGGGTCACAGGGTGTGAAAGGAGAGGAGAAAAGGAAAAAAAATTAAATGGCAAAAGAAAAGGGAAATTATTAAAAGGAGAGAGAACAATAAAAGATCAAGAATTCAGAAGATATCGAGTCACATGGTAAATTTTCAAATATCAAAGCTCACTGGAAAGCAAAAAAAAATGGAAGAAATTTCCACAAGCGAGAATTGCGAGAGAAGAAAGTGTTAACATAGAACTTATATCTAGACATTTCAACTGCAAAAGCAATAAAGTCACGAGGTGGCTTCAATGACACTTCTGAGATTTCGTTAACATTGTACGAAAGAGTGTAATAAATAACGATTCAGATATCATCCGGAGTTATTTAAATCCTTTTTGGAATTCTCATCAACTCGATTTACAGGATGTTTACTTTGGATATTTTAACTGGATCCGGGCAAATAATATGAAGATTAAAAAATAAGATATGACCTTTGATTTCAAAACTTTCACCAATTACTCAGGGAATATGACTATTTTAAAACTTTGAATTATTCATTTAAAATCATAAAATTAATAAAAATTAATACAAAATGATTGTTAGAAAATATTGAAAATAACATAAAAAAGGAATAGATAAATCTCTAGAAAGAAAGAAAGAAAGAAAGAAAGAAAGAAAGAAAGAAAGAAAAAAAGACAAATAAATAAAAAAGAATAAGAAAGGGCCAAATACAAAGAAAGAAAATAAAGAAAAGATAAATAAACGAAAAAGAAAAGAAAGAAAGAAAGAAAGAAAGAAAGAAAGAAAGAAAGATGATGAAGGCCGGAAGGCAAAATGAACGAAACGGTAGGATAATAACAACAATGACGAGGAAAATAATCCGAGTGTAAATAATTAAAATAATGAGAACACTTCCTCACAAGAATACAGACAAATATGCATAAATATATACACACACATACATACATACATACATACATATATAGACATACATAAATGCACACATACATGCACTCATACACACATTTTATGAGTAAAGAAACCAAGAGCTTTTCATTGCACAATCATTAGATAGATAGATAGATAGATAGATAGATAGATAGATAGATAGATAGATAAAGAAGAGTGTGTGATAGATAGATAGATAGATAGATAGATAGATAGATAGATAGATAGATAGATAGAGAAGAGTGTGTGATAGATAGATAGAGAAGAGTGTGTGATAGATAGATAGATAGATAGATAGATAGATAGATAGATAGATAAGGAAGAGTGTGTGATAGATAGATAGATAGATAGATAGATAGATAGATAAGAGTGTGTGATAGATAGATAGAGAAGAGTGTGTGATAGATAGATAGATAGATAAGAGTGTGTGATAGATAGATAAGGAAGAGTGTGTGATAGATGGATAGATAGATAGATAGATAGATAAGAGTGTGTGATAGATAGATGGAGAAGAGTGTGATAGATAGATGGATAGATAGATAGATGGATAGATGGATAAGGAAGGTGTGTGATAGATGGATGGATGGATGGATAGATAGATAGATGGATAGATGGATGGATGGATGGATGGATGGATAAGAGGTGTGATGGATGGATAGAGAAGAGTGTGTGATAGATGGATGGATAGATAGATGGATAGATGGATAGATGGATGGATAATGAACAGACTGAGATAGATGATGGATAGATGGATGGATGGATGGATGGATGGATGGATAGATAATGAACAGACTGAGATAGATAGATAGATAGATGGATAGATAGATGGATAGATAGATAGATGGATGGATAATGAACAGACTGAGATAGATAGATAGATAGATAGATAGATCTAAAAGCTAACCTAATTTAATATCCGACCAAAACGTATCTCAGGTAATTGTTTAAATATTTAATTTCGTATAAAGAATCAATTTAGCAGATGGTATGTATTAATTAAATATGTATGCCTGTGTGTTTTGCGGGGCGGTGCATATAATATTAGAGAGAATTCTCTTTTCTGCTCAATTAACTGAAGCAACATAACGCCAAAGTGGAGAAGAAGAATCATCTCCGCCTGAACATTGAAAAGAGCGAATCTTTTACCCGACGGGAACATTCTGTGTATGCTGTACAGAACATTGGAAATGACAATTCATTTACGGAATTCAGCTCTGAAATTAATAATAGACATCAACACGAGAATGACATATAGATATGTGTGTGTGTGTGTGTGTGTGTGTGTGTGTGTGTGTGTGTGTGTGTGTGTGTGTGTGTAGAGGGGAGAGAGAGAGAAAGAAAGAAAGAGAGAGACGTGGACGTGGAGAGAGAAATGGGCGTTGAAAAGTCAGGAAGTGACAGACTCGTTTAAATCAATTTTTTCTGAATGAATTCATATTCAGCTACGCATTTATTTATTACTGCGTAAAATTACCTTCCTTTGTCTGACCATCAAATTTAAGAAATTTGTGTTTGCCTATCGTTTTTTTATTTTTTTATTTTTGTTTGTTTGTTTTTTTCCCTCTACATTTCTTTTCTTTGATACACCGGTTCATCGTATATATATATATATATATATATATATATATATATATATATATATATATAGATAGAGAGGGATGGGAGAGAGAAAGATAGAAAGAGAGAAAGAAAGAGATAGATATGCAATGAACAGTTTATGCTTCAAATGTATCCATGTTGTCATGAAGTTCAGAGCAACATTTGGTCTTAACGTTTATTCCAACTTAATTTCAATAAAAACAAAATAAATAGATTAACATATGTGTTTTTTTATTTTTTCCTCAGTAATTTTATAATTTTAAACTTAATATAGATTAAATTTAAATTTTAAAATGGGTAATTTTTTTTTTTTCAAATTGTATCGAATAATTTAACATTTTTACTTAGAATAAATTCTATTTTAGTCTAACCCCAACATTAATGCATAATAATTATTATAATCAAAGTTCGTTGTCAAGTTTTTTGAATTCTCGTATACTTGTATTTTGATTTGTCATTCCAGCTTATGTAACAGCGTTTCCCCTAGCGAGGGGTGTTTGATTGATTTGAACCTTTTAAATGCCTTTATTCTACATTCAACATCATCACTTGATAAGACACCAGAAGTGTTGAAACAAAATGGCTATTTTTGTAGTGATTTTATAACATTTATGTTATAATTTTTTCGAATAAATAATTATATATATATATATATATATATATATATATATATATATATATATATCTGATATTACTTGATAATTAGTAGGGATACTTCCAAAGAGGATGTAAATCCAAAGAAAGCTCAATGTACGAACAGAGCTCATATAATAATGAAAGCCGAGTTTTTAGAAATGCATAGGTAATATTTTATTTCATGGAATCAGGCCCCTATCTATTGATCAACACTCAGAGGCGACAGGCTGTTTCATGCTAGACGGAATCGTCAGGCCGGCTGACGATTGCGTCTAGCTTGAAACAGCCTGTCGCCTCTGAGCGTTGACTTCAATGTTCATTTTTATATCTATATTTACATACGCTCTATTTTTCAAAAACTGAAGCTAAAACTTCAAATTTAATTATATGCTTTTAATTTAATGCTTCAAATTTAATTCTATGCTTTATGCTTCAAATTTAATTATATGATTTTAATTTAACTATATAATGAAATTTGAAGTTTTTACCTTCAGTTTTTGAAACATGGTTATTACTGTGTAGCGAAAATACCATATTTTAAATCAGTTAATTTGTAATATGTATATATATATATATATATATATATATATATATATATATATATATATATATATGCGTGTGTGTGTGTGTGTGTGTGTGTGTGTGTGTGTGTGTGTGTAAGAAAAAAAGGATCATTTTTATGCCAACGCGTTTCCTTCCTTGGAGAATTTTATCAAGATAAATCTGGATAATTTATTTGGTAACATCTGCTGATACACAAAAGTAATGTGGAGGAAAATATCATTTTCTTACCTTGAATTTGAGAACAAGCTAAAATATTCTTCAAGCTTTATGTTTAAGGAAATGTAAACTATGGATGACGTTAAGTGATATAATTTATTAATAAGCGAAAGTGAGAGAATGTTGCTGTTAAATGTTTATTCTATTTTAATGTAATTATGATTTATTTCTATATATTTTATTTATTATTATTTATGCATTTCTTTTAAATATTTAAAGGTCTTGAGTAAGGTTAGTTTAAAGATTTTTGGCGCGCTTCCTCGTTTTCCGTCGTCCGATATCGTGTGTCTGAAAAATGCCAGCTTTACTATGGTCGCCACTCTTCTATGCCTTTTAGCTGAGATCAAACTGTATTATCTGCTTTTAGGAGGATAAACCACATTAATCTCTCAGTTGTGTGTCTTTTTTCGAACAGAGCGCAACTCAATTGTGTCTATCTGCAGACAAAGCCCAACTGAAAATATCCTTCCTCATTGCACTAAAGAGATGGGGGGGTAGTTAATACTTAACAGCTATCCCCACCCCCCGGAAGGATGTATGTGGCACAAGGCCAACTTTACCGTGGTTTCTCCGAGCCCGTAGGCTTGGCCAAAAATATTCCCTTAGAACCCACATAAACGGGTTCATGGCCTCTATACCTCCACGGACGAAACTTTGCCTCGTCCGGGTTCCTCTCTGCTCAAGCACTGTTCCCGGGGGATTGGCAGTTATTATATATAATCCCCCCCCCCCAATACGTGGGTTATATGTGACACAAGGCCGAGTTTACCGTGGGTTTCTCCGAGCCCGTAGGCTTGGCCAAAAATATTCCCTTAGAACCCGTATAAACGGGTTCAGGGCCTGTCTACCTCCCCGAACGAAACTTTGCCCTACAATGCAAGAGAGTTCGGCAGTAACGATCGGTCTAGCACTGTTCCCCGGGGGGTCGGTAGTTATACCGACGATTGCGGGGGAGGGGCGTGTTATTTATGGAACTGGCTTACGCGCTCAGCGTGAAGCGACAAGAAAAAAAGAAAATACAATCGCTTCTCGATTAAACTGATAAGAACAGATACTACACTTTGATCTTAGTCAATAGGCTAAGATCAAAGTGTAGTATCTGTTCTCAATAGTTTAATCGTATCCTCTCCCTCCCTTCCTCCCCTCTCTCTCTCTCCCTCTCCTCTCTCTCTCTCTCTCTCTCTCTCTCTCTCTCTCTCTCTCTCCACTTCTATTTCCCTCCGTTTTTTCTTTCTTTCATTCATTTTCTCACTGAGACCAAACAGTATTTTCCTCAACTTTCCACACGATCGAAGCCGGAATAGTCTATTATTTATGAGATATTTGTAAGTGCAAAGCAATAGAAATTAGAAAAAAAAAAAAACAAGTTCAAAATTAGTGGCAATTTAAGAATTTAGCGAACATGAGACGGTTACAGCTTCGATTAGGTTCAAACAAATAAGAAAAATAAATGGAAAGAAAAAATAGTTTAAAATTAATTAGTTTAATTTAAAACTTCATCATGGTACCCATAGTAAAACCTTTTTTTTTTTTTCTATCGTTATGGAGAGAATCTTTCACAAAATGAGTGCAACTTTACAAAACAGACAGATATATTCTCACTCGATAGAAGGTCATAATACAACCAACATATTTTAATTTTTATTTTATTTTTCTTTGCATTTAATGAGCCAAAATTTTTAATCGATATTTAAGAAAACTCATTAAAGGCAAAACGAAAATGCTTACGTTGGAGATGAGCCAGTATTCGTTGTAATTCAAGATGGCTTCCAACACTTCTATTACCTCATTTTCTTCTCCCATCAGCCGTCATTTCAATCGCCTTTTCCACATCCGTCCGTCGAGATCCTAAAGAACCTTATAATCGTAACCAGAAGCTGTTACGATTTTACCGGATATATATATATAAATTAATGTTGTTTAATTTTAGATTAGGGGCGACGCTGGTTTTGTCTGCGAGCAGACATATCCCTCGAGGCTACATCTAAAAACAAATGACCTATATTGAATCTGTAGAAAATATTGTTGCGGCAAAAACAGATACTCAATGTTGACCTTGCAAAGCCCTCACTAACCCCAACTTGAAAGAAACTCTTACGCCTATAACTGGACCCCCGTGTATAAAGATATCTTTGTGCGGTTTCATATATAAACATTTTTATATATGTTAAAACCCTTAGGTTCACGTTCTGTTTGGGTTTGATAATCGTTGCATTTCGATCCCCGAAAGAGGCTAGTTCTTTGGTGGAGGTATTCAGTCGATTTACACCCGCCTCAGCGATGCTTTTTGGAACAAAGATTGAGTTTTTTTTAATCAAATTTTAACATTGACTTCTTTTTAAAGTAAACTTCAGCGTTACATATTCGTCTCTGGATATAGATATGCACTTTATATCATATGCACTTTAACTCCAGCTCTTGCCTCAATAAAACAATCTAGCTTGTGTGGCTCTTAGTTTGGTTTATTTTGTTGTACGACATATCAGCTCAATAGGTTATTTAATACCGACAAGATTTTATTACTGGGAATATTTTTTTTTTCAAAAATATATTGCTTGTAATATTTTTTTTCAAAAATGTACTGCTGGTAATAATTATTTTCTTCAAAAATTTATTGCTGGTAATAATAAGTTACAAAAATTTAGAGCTGGTATTAAAACCTATTTTTACACTTTCATAGTGTTTTGACCCCAGTTAGAGGGTTAACTATTTGCCCATAACTGGGAGCCTAACAGGTACTACCACTCCAGGTCAGGGTGAACCTGGGAACACCAGCAATTAAGAGGAGGTTCCACGCTCCTCAAAACCTCCTGACCAGAGGCCTTGCTGTTGGATGTAGTTTATTCTCTTACCCAGGACGCGGATGTAGTTTATCATCATACCCAGGACGCCGGATGCAGTTTATCGTCTTACCCAAGACGCGGATGCAGTTTATCGTCTTACCCAGGACGCGGATGTAGTTTATCGTCTTACCCAGGACACGGATGCAGTTTATCCTCTTATCCAGGACGCCGGATGCAGTTTATCGTCTTACCCAGGACGCGGATGTAGTTTTTCGTCTTACCCAGGACGCGGATGCAGTTTATCGTCTTACCCAGGACGCGGATGTAGTTTATCGTCTTACCCAGGACACGGATGCAGTCTATCGTCTTACCCAGGACACGGATGCGGTTTACCGTCTTACCCAGGACGATGTGGCTTTTGTGCCATGTATTAGGTGAACTAGAATGTAAAATATAATCAACATTGGTTATATTTTACATCATATTATAAATTGTTGTACTTTTTATTATATTATTATATTAAGTCTTTAGTACTATTTATATTTTATTTGTATTAATAATTTATATTACATTAAAAACGGATTTCCACTGACCATATAATCCCCCTATTGGGCCAGTAAAGCCGGCATGATTCCCTGGCCATATAGAATCCATTTATTTCTGGTGAGTTTATGCCACTCCAGTAAGTACTTGACTCCCCTGATATTCTCTATCTTTACAAGAGCCGAATCAGGCCTAAAAGGAAATACTGCTGCTATATATGGACAGTAGCTGCTCATGAATAACCTTCTACTCTCGATAGAGTCCAAATATGTCTCTGCTTCCTTTTGAGTAATGAATTATTTCCAACCCTCCAACCCTCCAACCCTCCAACCCTCCAATCCTCCAACCCTCCAACCCTCCAATCTCTTTCTCACAGACGAAACGTCGCATGCCTCTCGCTGCTCTATCTGTTTTATGTTCACCACTGCTGTGGCCTGGTATTGAACTCCTAACTATTTTGGTCTAGTCACTTTATCCACTGGGCCATGTGTCCTCAGGAAAAACTTGGAGCGTTGAGTTAAAGGGAAATTGAGCCATTCGCAAGAGGCATGACACGTGGAACTAGAACAATCTACGCCGGTTGACGAAATAAAGGGTTCGGTTCGAAATTCTAATCACCTGAAGAAGGCCGTGGTGTACAACGGCCGAAGCGTTGTGAATATGGTAATGAGGATGACAGTCTGAATAATGTAAATAATGCAAGTAGCCCTTGGGAAAGGCTTAAATTTCTATTTTTTCCAACTAGTATGAATTAAATACAAAGATAAATTGAGCTCTTTAGCCATAACAACCATTTTAAATTGCAAAACGTGGAGAAAGCAATGGTTTGGTTTGGTTGATTCGTTTTGTCCGGCTTATAATCCCTTTGCGGATTATTAAAAAGAAATCATTTTAGATTCTCGGATTTTTTTTTTTTTTTAGATAATCATGATTTAATGATACAAGTCTTATTTATTAATCTATAGCTGTAGATTCGTACCTTTCACAAGGGTAACTGAATATAACGAACCCAACGAGAATTGGAACACGGCTCTCCGATTAAAAATTACGAGCCATTATCCATTACACCACCCGCACATCCAAACTTACAGCACCTGGAATTCCCAAGTGGTTGCCCAACTAGGTACTGACCAGGCTCGACGTTGCTTAACTTCGGTGATTGTACGGGAACTCAACTCTCTGATTAACAATTCCAAGCCATTATCCATTACACCACCCCCACATCTAAGCTTACAGTACCTCGTATTCCAAAGCGGTTACCCATCTAGGTATTGACCAGGCTCAATGTTGCTTAAATTCGGTGATTGTACGGGAACTCGATTATCCAATTAACAATTTCGAGCCATTATCCATTACACCACCCGCACATTTATGTTTACAGGACAAGGAATTCCCAAACGGTCCCCAATCTAGGGGACGACCAGGCTCGACGTTGCTTAACTTCGGTGATCATACGGCAACCGGTGTTTGAACGGTATATAGCCTAAAAGGTAATGGGGAAAACCTTTTATAAGAAAACCTGTTAATTCAAAGATTTAAAAAAAAAAATCTGTGGAGAGTCATGATTGCCGACGCCGGAAAAGGATATGGCATTTTAAAAATGCATCGATGCATTATATTGTAACAAAATAATCAAATGCATTTCCTATGGGCTGCGGTTTCACCAACTATTTTTTCAGAACCCGCAATGGTATATATGATGATTCGGTATTCCTTAAATTTGTATAAGTTGAATTTATTTCAAATTTTTAACGTATTTTCATAGTGCATCATGATACACAAGGTTTCGTGCTTGTTTTTTTGTTTTTTGGGGGTTTTTTTAAGCTTTTTACCCCAAGCAATGCGGGAGTGCCTTTAGCACGCAAGGGGTTACAGAGAGTGAGAGTAATAGTAAAGAGGGGTGTTTGAGGAAAGGTTAAAGAGAAGGAAGGGTGATCAAGATCAAGGCATCAGAAGATATCGATTGACATTACCTTTTAACATGTGAAGGTTATAGTTATCAGGGAAGCAAGTGAGACGAAGGGAGTTCCACTGGTGGTTCTACAGAAGGATGAAAACAAGAAACAGAAAGAGTGTTGAACTGTTACGTGATATCAATTCTCTTATATGGCAGTGAATGCAAGAAAATTTCCTCACATGTGAAGAAGAGACTTAAAGCAACAGAAAATGTTTTTTAAGCATATCACCACAAGTAAGGACGTTACAGATAGTGAGAGCAATCATAAAGACGGGTGTTTGAGGAAAGCATATTGAGAAGGACGGGGATCAGAATTAAGGTATCAGAAGATGTCGATTGACATTGCATTTCAAGATTTGAAGATTATAGCTAACAGGGAAGTGTTGAGATGTTGAGTGCTTCCCTGTGCGTGTATTGAAATAAGGACAAACACATACGTAGGGAAAAATACTGGTATATCTGAAGAGGTATTTACAACAGAGAGATTAGTAGTCAAACGAACGCAGGTTAGTCAGTAACAATCAGAAAGATTATAAAGTCCAACTGTATCTTCCGGTAGAGAGACGGAAGTGTGATGGTCACCTGATCTTCCCAGAACTCTCTAGAACTGTCCTATTAGTAGTAGAGAGATCAGTCCATTCTGATGAGAAGGTGGGTGGCCCCAACAGGAAGAAAGTGAGAGAAAGGGAATTCCACTGTCGGGAAGTGCGAGAGAAGAAGCTGTTGGAGTAGAAGAAGCGGTTACATTTAACAGTTTCGAGAGTGAAAGGGTGGGACCGAAATGCCAATCTAGTAGCACGCTTAAATTCATGCAGTTTGGGTACCAGTGAAAGTAGCTTGACTGAGAATTTGCCATTAAACTACTTGTAGAAAAGACAAAGGGAAGTCACGGCACGTCAGTGAGAAAGTGAGTGCAGACGAGATGCCAGATCAGGGCCCATTGGTGAGGTTTCCGTAATCGAATTGTCCCATGGGCTGAGGTGATTGACTCCACACCCAGACTCTTTACTCGAAGGAATTGTTGGTTTTCTGTTGCCTTATTTCCTTCTCTTATACGCCTACGTGTTCCCGCGTGAACGAGTTCTATCAACGGAAATCTAGATCGGTGTGCTGATCATTTGTTCAGTAAGCCACCAGCACATCCATTTTTAACCCTTTGATCTCTGCGTTCCTGAACAATATTAAGCCTTCTGCCTGAGCTCCTGAGTCAAAATTCGCAAATAATTGGTAAATTTAAATATTATCTTTTTTTTATTTATTTTTTATTTTTACTTTATTTTATTTTATTTTTGTAAAACAGGACCTCCAGTTAACGGAAAATCTGCACTGAATCGTAAAATAAAAATGTAATAAAACTAAGACATTATTTAATTAGAAAAGCATTTAATTGCTTTTATGAATTAGATATATTATAGACACTATTGTCTTAACCCTTCGAACCCTGTGTTCCTGAACAATTTTGATCCTTCTGTCTGAGCTCCTGAGTCAAAATTCGCAAAGAACTAGTATGTAATGTCTCACGGTAGATATAAAATAGTTACAAGTGTTTACCCAACGTTTAACCAGTGGCTGGGCGTTAAGTTATTTTCTCTACCCCTGGTCAACCAGTGGCTGGTCATTACGTCATTTATCTCTACCACCGGTAAAACGATGGTCATGTCTTAAAAATTAAAATTGCAATTTAATTAGTAAACTGCTTATCCAAGAAAAACATTCTATACCATTATATATTCTGACAGGGAGTAAGATCAAGCTGTTTGGTATAATTTTAACCCTGAATATCTGGTTTGGGTCATTTCCATAGAAGGGTATCGTAATATCCTGTTTGGCCGGCAGATCTGAATGGTCCACTTGGAAAATCACGATTCACGTATTCCCAGTCCCAGAACACATGAAAGAAAACGTTTCGCTGTGTGTTAACACTATTATTTAGCATTTGTAGTTTTAAAAAGCCTTTCCACTTGTAAGTTAATACCCTTTAACAGAGATGCGAACGAGCATATCCCAGATCAGTAACTGACTCTTTGTTATTTGAACGTGCCTTTTTTTCACTTGCTTTTTATTTCGAGTACAGACTAAAGGACTGTGAAATCCGAACAAATCCCTTTATCTTATTTAGAAGAGAAATACCGATATTTGCTAAAACTAGTACTTTTGTCTATCATCTTCCTTGCTATAAAGATGATTTTTTAATTGCATACCTCTTCAGAACAAAGATTTTCACATCTATTCCTTTAATAACTATGAATTGTAATAACTTATTGGTAGTGGAATGCTTATATTTTATATCATATTATAAATTGGTGTACTTTTTATATTATTATATTAATTCTGTAGTACTATTTATATTTTATTCATATTAATAATTTATATTACATTAAAAACAGATTTCCACTGACCATATAATCCCCCTATTCGGCCATTAAAGCCGGCATGATTTCCTGGCCATATAGAATCCATTTATTTCTGGTTAGTTTATGCCACTTCAGTAAGTACTTGACTCCCCTGATATTCACTACCTTTACAAGAGCCGAATGAGGCCTAAAAGGGAGTATGCTTCCTTAAATAATATAGACAAGTTTTGTCTATTTATTTTAAATAATTTCTTGTTTTATTGTCGAATAAGCTTTTTAGCATTGTCACTGAAACACGAAAGAAAATGACCATGCTGATACATGTTTTTATTGTTAATCCTGTCTAAGTCTTCGGGTTACATAAGTCATCATCAGAGATTACAAGTAAATTACAATAAATTAAATAAATTAAATAACAAATATGGTAATTTTTGTTTTAGATTGGTTATGCGGACATTGCAACAATGATGTTTGTTTTGTTTACATGGAAGACTACTATGCAACGATAAATTCGTGCATATGAAACGCAGGAAGCAAATATCGACTTGCGATTCATGACCACATATAAACACGTGAGAGTGAAAATGAAGAAAACTGTTAAGAATTAACAATAAAAACTTGTATCAACATGGTGATTTTCTTTCGTGTTTCAGTGATAATGCTAAAAAGCTTATTTCTCAATATGAAAGGAATTTACTTAAAATAAATAGACAAAACTTGTCTATATTATTTAACGAAACATGCACTAATGAAAAAATGCTGCCTAAATACACACAAAACTATATATTACTATATAAAATATATTGCAGAACAAGTATATTGACCGTGACTTGCATAAAAATACTTTGGCACACTGAATGATTTTAAAACCCTGAGTCTGCATATAGTTAGCGAAAAATTGCCGACCCCTGGCCTATACTGATTGCTTTCCCTACGATTAGAAATCATAGTTTCGCTTAATTTCCACAAAGAAATTAGAAATAAATAAACCTTATATTTTTTTTTATTTTAAGTTACATTAAAACAGTTTGAAATTGGCCATATATTTAAAACTTTGACCTGAGCCTGTAAGATAATTGTATGTGATTTTTTTTCCTTCGTTAGATGAAACGTCATTTAATTAGCGTTATTTATTCGAAAAAAGAAACTGACATGGAGTCGATTTATTATTACTTATTTATTAATGTCTGAGAATCGAGCCAACGAGCTTTGGATTATTTTGTTTTAATTCTTTCTTTTCTTTGCAAACATCCAGTTAATTAAATGCTACATCAAATGAGTGGCTCCAAAATTATATAATTTCAAGTAACGAATCTAGACAGCTGCTGCAACATACTTAGTGTCAATCAAAAAAACTCACTATCTCTCTTATATATATATATATATATATATATATATATATATATATATATATATATATATATATATATAATATCCACGAATACCCTTAAAATGCCTATAATTTATAACAAAAGCCATTGGTTTATACCAACACCTTCCCATACTTAATATTTCTCGTTTTTCACTCTCGCGTGGTCATGTGTGACGTCACGAGATGGGACGTGATTTTCGCTTCCGCATCTCGTATATACGAGTTTGTCGTTACTTGAAATTTCCATGCAGCAAGGGGGGACTATCTTTGTTGTTTCGTCCGTGTGTCGTTTGATTTATTGAAATTGTCATCTTTGATAATAACTTATGTAAGCCGAAAGCTTATATTGGATTTAAACATGTATCAATATAGTTTTTTTTTCTTTCGTCTTTCAACGATAATGTGATTAAGCTTATCAGACAATATGAAAGGAACTTACTTAAAATAAATAGACAAAACTTGTCTATATTATTTAATGAAACATGCAT